ATTAAAATGACAGATTTACCCTTAAAAATGAATCTAATTTGCTGAAATGGGGTCATTTCAGTCTTTTAAAAAGGAAAGTACAATAGCATGGATAGCGGGTGCCATCTGCTCTCTAGATTGCAGCCCCTTTAGCGTCTGAAGCAGACGCTATTGGAAAACTGCCACATTATGGCTGTTTTCATAGCAGCAGCCCCTATGAGCACTACGCTATGGCTGCTATAGTGCCATAGCGGGTGCTATTGACAACACTGTCTTTGACACAGCCATTAATGTCAAAATCCCATGCATACCTTAAAACCCTAGAAACCCTAGCCTAGCAAATTATCAGAGGCAAGGTTGCGGAAAGCACTAGGCGATGGTAGGCAATTGCCCACAGCCTAGAGCCTAGAATGCATAGGCAGTGCCTAGGCTGCCTGGGTGGGTTTTTTTTAAATAATTTTTTTAAAATTTTTTCTAAGAAAATAAGAAAAAAATGTAAAACAATTTTTAAAATTACAAAATAAACAGAAAAATTAAACATTTTTCTATTCATTATCATATTTGAAAGCAGAATTTAAGGGAATTACTTGGCATTTGCTGTTTTTTATATAATTTTTGTAATAAATTAAACAATGTCATTTCATTAGGCTAAGAGACAAGAAAATTGCTCAGGCATTTTAGGCACCATTAAGCATGCCTAATAGTGCTTGGGCATGCATAATTCATCTGGGCGGTGCAAACTGCATTGAATTTCCACCTAGAGGCTGATGCAGGTGGAATGGCACCCCCTAGGCCCTTTTTTACAACACTAATCAGAAGCAAATTAAACTTAAGCACATTTCACGTTCAAAATGAAAAACTAGAGATTCCACTGATGTATCCATACAGTGAAGAATAATAAAGAGATGAATAAAAAAAGGAAAATAAAAATGCACAACTTCAGGTTCAATCAAGAGTTTCAACCTGTAGCAGATAGCAGATCCATGCACCAAAAATGTACAAGAAATATGAGTCAAGTTAAAATTTTAAGAATCATTTTTCTGATACCTAAAATAAATTTATTTGTCCAATACTGATAACAATCTACTACAGTGCCTAAACATGAGAGAGAATCTCAACTCAGCTCCATTGCATATAGATGCTGTGTTCAGTTACATCCATCTCTTTTGCTTCCATCCCAAAGGTTTCAAGACATACTTTTTAAAGATAACAAGAAATCGATATTTCCAAAGTACTTTCTACTCACTTTCCCTAGTTTGAGATTTGCAATGATGCAATCCATAACGAGATTCCAAGAAGCATGCATCATTACTTAGTGGCTCAACTAGATAACCTGTCCTCACCCTACACACTCACTCTCAATTGGGTCATGGGATGGTCCCTTCCGAAAATCTGAAATGACCTGGAGTTGTCCCACTGGTTAATCGGGTCAAGTCAGGGTCAATCGAAAGTGACATCACAATAATTAATGAATTTTTGTAAATTTGAAATATTATTTAAATATACTTTTGATTTTGAATATCAAAAAATAAAATTAAAAAAGCAAATTCATTATAGTTTATTAGATTATTAGATCTAATTTTACTTTAATAGAATTTTTTGTCCAAATAATTTATTAATATTATATTTTTTAAAGGAAAATGGAGAAAATATTGGAAAATTTTAATTTTTATTTTAATTTTTTAAAAAGTCGGGTCGACTTGAAACCCAACCTAATAAACCTGAAACCCGAGACCCAAGATAACACAACCCAATGAAACCAGTCAACCCAACCTGATTGTTGAGTCTACCGCCACATGGAAATTTAAACCCACTGCCAGATGGATTCAAATTCGATCTTAGTGGATTCAAATCCCACTCACAGAAACTTCTACTTATTCTCTAACAAACATTTAAGGGTTACGTAATGTCAAGTTCCTCTAACATAGAACTTTGAGCTCCATGGTTGAGAACAACTTCTAAATGATTAATCCAGTTTATGGTATGATGGTAAACACCAGATTCCATATGTTTCCACTTTAATACAAATAATACTGAGTAAACCACAGTCTTACTTGGTGAATAAACGGTTCCATTTGGCTCAGTAAGTCATAACCCTACGACAAAAAGAAATGAATAAGTATAACTTTTGTTAAAAAAAAAAATAATAATAATAATTTTTTGGGCCTTCAAAGGAATAAAATCCTAAAGAAATACAAACCAGCTTAAAATATCTTAGATGAGCATCCATGATTGCACTTATAGATTCCAGAAACTCATACTTTTTTTTTGCTTCAACATTCATTAGCACATTTACCTGCATTTCTTAAAACCAAAAAGACAAGTTCATTCCAGACATAAAATATAGCAATATGATCTAGTGGAACTAAAAGAGGATTCCCAATAAAAACATACTAAATTGAAGCGGCTTCTTTCAAATGCAGATTTTGAGTTCTGTAGATCCTGCTCAAAAGGAAGCAATAGCCTTTTTAGTTTTTTTTCTTCTTCCTTTTTTTTTCTTTTTCTTTTTGTGCAAAGATATGCCTATCAAAATTATTTCTTAGTGGGTGAGCAGAGTATGAGTACAACAAATTCATAGATAAAGAAAAGGAATGCCAGAAGTGCTATTAACAATTAAATATGTAAGAATTGTGTATGATGGAGAATAGAATGAAAAAAATGATTAGCAATACCAACTAATTGCGAGAAATGATGAGATGAAAAGTACTTTAGCCTTCCTCTATAAACAACAATCTGATACTATAATTGCAACACATGAATACCACATAGGTTATAAAAAAAGGTTGAAACTACTAATTCGTCAAGAAGAACCACAACAAAGGATCTGTCAGGTATCAATGCCATTTTCTGTTTCTGTTTTTGTTTTTAAAGGTGTTGGGTTAATGCAAATTGATTGGATAGAGTTCAACTACACAGGGTTAAGCTGAATCCAATAGGGCCAGGACTATCTGTCAAGGCAACATGTTGTCACATCAAATGAAAGTGGTGAATTTTAGTTTTTAAAAGGTTTACAACCAGTCAGCAAACAACCTCAATATGAAGTCTGAACAAAATCATTTTGGAACCCACAATGCAAACAACTTGTTTCATCCATCAATTATCAGTTTTCTGGAAACAAAAGTAATGCTCGATGGATCCTTTACTAAAACCTAAGTTTCTTCGTCCTTTTTTTTTTTTTTTTAAAGAGAATGACAGCAAAGGTACCCAATAAAGATAAAAATGTATAAATCCATTTCTTGACTAAAAATTTAACCTATTTTTTAATTTAAAATCTCAAATCCGTACAGAACACTTGTGCACTAATAATTCACCACCCATCTCCAACCCACTTAAAAGTCAAACCCACTAAGGCATTCAAATCATAAAAAGAAGAAAACAAATAAAAGAATAAAGGAAATGAAAGAAAATAAAAGAAAATTCATAATTGGCAGGCGATGGGGACCTTCATGGGGATCTTCATTATCCATGTGGATAGCGATGAGGGGAAGAATCTGCCACTGAAAAAAATCCTTGTGGGGGATCTTTGCAATTGGTGGGGATAGGGACAGATTTCACTTGTCACCGTAAGTAAGTGCAAGTGCAGGGCCTTGAAGTACATTGCTTTGAAGATAATATTATGATGCTTTGTGAGGCTCATAAGAGTTCTTTAGGAATACATGTAGCATTTTGCAGGTGGTCTAAATGATGATATCAAGAAGTTGTTGGATAAATTGGGCTTTCTTATAATATCCTTAATTCAAAACTTTGCACACTGGACAACAAGCCTATTCATGATTAAAATTCAGCAAAGGATTGGCTCTTGTAAGAACAATTTTTTGACCTTTACTGCCAGAGTTCATTCAACTAATAAATCTGTTACTTCACCTGATTATTGAGAAGATTGATCAAATGTTACTTTTTTTATGGACAGGAGACTGGATCAAAAGCTTATGGATTTAGGGCCTTGGAGGGAAGTCCATCTTCCAGGTAATGAAGGTGGCCTGGGCATAAAGCAACTTGAAATCTTGGGGAAATATGCAGGATGTGGTGAATGAGTGACAATTATGTGGGCTAAGGAAGTAATATTAAAATATAACAACATTTGGAAGGTAAAAATTCCACAGGAAGGGATGGCAACAGGCCCTGTCTCCCATCCACAGCAACAATATCTACATGTCCTAAAGCCATGAGCCCACCTTGACGAGTCAAAGCTAACAATATCCACAGCAGTTTCCAAGTCATTACATTTAGGCTCCTTTAGGCTTAACATAATGAAGTGTCTGTTTATGCAATGACCCGTACTTCTTTGCATAAATTAGGGAAGTTAGCATTTATAATCCACCAAGGAATATTGCATGGTTTGTCTAGGTCAAAAATCTAACTCAAAACTCTAATTTTAATTCTAACTTAGATGCGATAGGGTTTTTAAAAAGTATATGACAGGTGGATATTCAAATTTTATTTCATAACTGATTAGGCTTGGGGATATATGTTTTTTAAAATAAGTTATATAGACTACAATATTTTACAAGCCAATATAAATAAAGAAAATCAATTTTAGAGATCTTTCATCTAGAGTAAACATATAAATTAGAGAACCATAAGTATAGATTATTATAAATTTATATAAAGAATCCATTCCTGAAAACATGAAAAGTTAATAGGGCATACCTCTTCTAGCTCTGCAACAATGTCCCCCCGAGTACTCTTCTTCAAAGATACAAACTTCTCCCGTGCCTGAATGTGCAAGAAATCATCAAATGAAAGAAACATAAGAATATAACAAATTCCGACTAGACAGGTTTATATTAGACCCAGAAAGAAATATGATGCTTTAGTGCTTTGCTCTCTATATTCAGATAGCATAAATATGATGCTTTAGTGCCTCTTTCTCTATATTCAGATGGCATAATTTAAAAGGGGGCAGAAAGTTAAACTTAGTAGATCAAGTTTTTAGCACAATGACATCGTCAACAATGTTTGCTATGATGTGTTCAAGATTTGTGCTAGAAGAGATATTCAAAAAACAAAAGACATTTCATCAAATTTTGGAGGAAAAAGAGAAAGATTTCACATGCTTATATTCTTCCCTTATGGATACCACCTGCCATGCACTTCTACAACAGTTTTTATAATAGTCGATGAAAAGTGCAAAGCTGCAAGTGTCACATGCCAGGCTCACACTTGAATGGGAGTTCAACCCCCATAACAGAAAGAGAGAGATCCTGGACCATATGTAATAGGTTGATATACTCAACTAAATAAAAGGCTAGCTTTATTGGAGTAACGTACAACCTGATACCAATTGAAATGCCTAGCATGAAAGGCCACAGCTAGCCTCACAACTCTTTGGGCCAAATCCACGTGGCCCTCAAACTCAAGTTTTTTAGCTGTATTTGCTATTTGCCATTTACAATATACCAGTCACATTCACACTTCTATGGAACTTGGGACATCACAGTAGCTATTTACAAGATTACTCATTTGAAAATAGAAAACCTCTTAGAAAGGTTTAGAGAGGACTTTTTGCATGAATGTTGTAATCTCCAACAACAACTGGAGACTTTTCAAAAATAAACAAATAAATAAACTTCAAGAAAGATATCAAGGTATCAAAGTAATTTAGGATGGTTAGTGAAAGAAGTGTTCAAGAAGACTGCAGAGAGGACCTAAACAAAGTGATCATTTATGAAGAATTGCAAAAATGCATTTAATAAATTCTTCATAGAGTCTAAGGAAATTAGTGCTAACAATGCATCTATGAAGACGCATCTCTTTTGAATTGGGGAAAAACCACTTGATGAGTTAGGTAATGAGAAATCAAGGTTAGAGTTAAAATCATTTTTTGAAAAAAGAACAAGAAATTTTGAAACTTAGCTTAGAAGAAATAAGCTTAAAAGGAAAAATAAAGATCTAGAAAAGTCTCTTGCAAATTTTGTTCAAGGTAGCAATAGGTATAATACCATCAAAAGAGCTCAAAGAAGTGCACACTCTTACCACCATAATTGGCCTTGCTTCTTCTAAGAGCTTAATGATTAAACCACCTCAATTGGGGAATTCTTCAAATTCTTTGTCATATAGGAAAAGTAACTACTTTTCATTATTACTTAAGAAAAAGTCAGTTGTTTATATCCATGCTCAATTAGAAAGAATTTTCATAAAGAATTTTCATAAAAAAAATTTGCTTGATGTCAGATCCTAAAGGATCCATTACTCTTGTACTAAACCCCGACAACACAAAAGAATATGGGTATCAAAACAAAACAAACAGTTGAACATGTTTTTCTAGGCACTATTGCAACAAGTAAACATTTCGAATTCATTAAATTATAAATGAAATGGATGAGATAAATTTTGACAGATTAACTCCAAGGATTTGAATTAAAAAAAGCGTGTGGTTGTAAGTTTTCTTACTAAAATTTAGTCTTGGAATATTCATATATTTGTTGAAATGGTATTTTTTTATTTTTTCTCATTTTTCTGATTTTTTATTTTTTTGGAAAAAAAAAAAAAAGAAAAAAAATGCCTAGGCTTGCCCAAAGGTGGCCCAACTCCTAGCTACCACCTAGGCATTTTGCAATATTGCTGGCAGTAGTTGGAGCTATTTTAAGAGCTGTTGACTAATGTGATTGCATTTCTTGGAGACGTGATAATTTCCAAGGTTGAAAGAGCCTTCCAGAAGATATAAAGATTAAGATTTCCAAGCTGAAGCTTTTCAAGATAAACTTCACCTTCACATAAAGGGATTCAAACGTAAAATTATTAAGTTCTTTGAATATTTTCTTATTTTTCTTAAACATTGATCAACCTTTTCTTAGAGGGAGAGTTTAGTTTGAACTTGTAAACGAATTCTTTGGCACCAAGAAGCAAGAAGTAGCTTTAAAGTTAATTAATGTTGTCTCAAGCAAGAAGAAAACCTAGGAGGATATAACCATAGTTGACCCTTCAAAAATCATAGATGATGTATTTAATTTTCTTCTATACTTTCTTTATATTCCACTCTTTATATTGTTTCCTCAATTTGGATTTTGGTTTGCATTTGATTAAGTTGTCAATTTATTAAAGTTTGTAAAAGAATACTTAAAATTACAAAAACACCATGATTAAAATAACACAAGAAAGATGACTTATGACAGATTCTTCAATGGATACATAACTGAAGTTAGAGTTGTAACCTCAGTTAATCACATGGTCAGTATTCAATTTCAAATCAAACAATTAACTTTATGCCATTGAACAATTTACGTGGTCCTTAATACCTGATCATAAGCAGCCATAGATTGGTTAAACCGTTGGCGGGACTCCTGCAAAGATAAAGGAGAACATGAGAGGCCATGAAAGCAACAAAACAAACAAGAAGCAAATTAGAAAATAAATATATATTTAAAGGACTTAGCTCTATTGACCTGGTAGTAACACTACAAACATTATAAAGGAAAAAATGATTTTTAAAGTTCCTTTCTTCAAAGAGTTAGATCTTGTAGCAATGAAGGAGCTTGAAGCAAAATTAAAAAGGCTAAGAATCCAGATCTGATTTATGAGGAAAACAAAAAAAAAAACTTATAAAGCACATTGAGTTCTTCAATAAAGACTACAATCATGCTTATAAAATGGACAGCACTGGAACTTGAAGATCTGCAAGGAAGATCCTAAGAGAGGAGCTCGCACCGGCAACCGCACTTCAAAATTCTAAGTAAAATTTTACAACAGTAACAATAAGTATTAATCTCAGCCAACCAGCATTTTCCAATTCCATAATTCTTTCCCATAAAGATAATATTGGTGCAAATGCTAAGGGTTTTAATAAATATTAGAAAATTTGCAATGGGCTATATAATTCCTTAAATATACAACAAATGTACAAAAATAAGAGTTACAAAAAGAATAATGATGGTAATTATTGAGGAACAATTAGATGATTAATAATAAAGTAGAAATTAGCAATTAGGCAAACTAAGTCGCCCAAGCATGAATAAAACAAAAGTTAGAAATGTCATAGTTAAATTTGTTCACGGTTTAAAAAATTCATACCTAAACAAGTAAGCAAAGACCATATCAAAACCAGCAATTTTAAAGAACTTGAGTATCATAATAGCTTTATTAGTTTTACCTTCACATCTTGCAAATCTACGTTCATAAAGTGCATTACCCGATCAACTAACACATGCTCTACCTGCAACAAAGCTCTATCACCACATAAATATAAAAAATCAACCATGAAGAGAAAAGTATATCTATCCCTGTGGATGCTCACACAATGTGATTTCTTCCCAGAAAGAAGTATATCTATGTTTGCGCAGGCAACCGATAGTTAAGGAGTATTTTCCTAAAACCCAATAAGCCGTATACTTGGTGCAAAATTACAATAATACCCTATTGAATTATTGTTTCCACTTGAGCACTTGAATTATGAATTTGTTTTCTTGAAATTTTTCCATTCATAGATGGAAAAACCAGTTAAAGCCATGGAAAATCATAGAAAGTATTCCAATAAGCCCTTCATTTCTATGAAATACAAATTGAAATATGCCAGTGAAAATAAGAAAAAAGATTTAGCCGTTCTATGTCTTTTGACACTGGTGGAGCAGAAAAAGGAGCAACAAATTAGAAGCACTAATATGGCACTTTAGCTCCAGCACTTTAAATGGGCAGTGGCAAGACCCAGCAAATAGCAAAATGCCAAATGGGTGCTTTTTCTAGAAGCACTTACTAGGGATCCTTTTGGAGCCACCAAATTTCTCTAGCAAAGGCACTACATAAATGCTCTACATTCAACCACCAGCGATCGTGCTAGGATAGAATCACCACTGATGCAATTTTTCTGGCACCATTGATGCCAATAACAATAACAATGCAGCTCTTTTTAATTATCAATTCTTTCCATATTTCAGTTTCTTTTAGAATTCAAAATTCAAATTATTTTTTGTAATAGATGGCCCAAACCTTTAAACATACACAAACCTTTAAAGTTTTTGCAGACATAAATTTTAAAGACCTTATCACTAGTATAAAACTGTTCATTCCTCACTAGCGAATAACATTCAACTTTCATGCATAATTTAGGTTAAGAAAAATGATTAGTACCTCTTCATTTTTTATCCAATTTCATTTCATATATAATCCAATAAGCATAGTTCAAAACTTCACTCTGAAAATCTGAAGTCATTACTAATTTATTTTAAGGAAATGAGTAGAAACGCTCACATGTACTTAGCCTTGAGATATTAAATACCATCCAATCAGCCACAGATAAATTCAACAATAAAAAAATGAATGTTACTGAAAATAGAATCTCCTTTAATAAAAAGTAGCAGGTAACAAATACATTCCTCTTCTTCCTTTTCTTTTCTTTTTTTTTTTTTTTTTTTTTTTTGGGTGCAATAAGCACAAAATGCAACTTCATTCTAGATAAATAACACAAAATTTGAGTGTTACAGTTACTATTAATTCTACCATCAAGATACATTTTCTTAAGATATGATTTCAATACTCACTTGAGAACTCAGCCAAAAAAAATACTTACTTGAGTACGAAGGAGTTCTTTGTACGCAGCAAGCTCACGAAAGGCATTGACAAACTTTGACATGATTGGGCCTGGAACAAGGAAACACATTTAAAACCCTGTAAACATAGAATGTATAATCTTCTATCTTTCAATATTTATAATTTATTAGTGAAGACTACCTATAGGTGAGCAGTTCATCTAAATTGGAACTTCAGCCAGGCATTGATGCATCAATTAGCTTAGGTTGATAAAAAGTTCTCTCCATAGAAATGGAAACCTAGATTTAAGTATAAATAAATAAGCTTTCTAGTCAGAAGGCAAGTTTCTGTGTCGATTATTAGGCCATTCGTATTAATTATTAATCACCTATTATCAATTTATCATCCAAGGGTATTTTAACAATCTGCTCTTTTCTGCTGTTACAGCTTCATTTCAGGATTCATTGGCCCTTATTTGAGTTCAGCTTAAATTAGGTTTAAAAATCGTTTATTGAGTCCTAATTTTTTTTTTTTGGGTAATGGCAAGATTTCATTCCACTTAAGCAATTCAGTACAATCCCTTACCCAGGGATACCCAGGTTTATATCATAGTTCTTTCTCCATTATTTGGGTTAGGCTATATATCTTAATTTATACAATTTTAGAAATCCAAGCCCTGTGACATTAGCACTACATTAGTTTTGAAAGTTCATATAGTTTAATTAAGTTCTAGTGTTAGGGTATTTTTATAATTTCCTGGCTGTTGTTATGAGCTTAACTTATGGTCTGTTACTTCATATTTGAACCTAGTAAGGGTAAAGAATAATGCTGAATGTTGGGTGCATTTGGTTTGAGTTATCCTAGTTCTTTTTTTTATTTTTTCTTTTGGCTACAAGGTATCCTATTTCTATTAAAATTAGAATTTCATACCTACAAATATTACTTTTGTTGTGAGTCATTTGTGTTCCTTTAAGATATTTTTATTTGGAGAATTTCTCAGGCCATTACTTGCTTAATCCCATCTTCTGTCATCTTCTTTCTTTGCTAATGTTTCCCTACACAGGACCAGTACCATAACCCTTCTTTTGTATCCCAAAACTGTAGCCAAACGCAAAATCTACCCTGCTAAAACTAATTGCATAAGCGCAAAACACTTTCCACAATTGAAAACCCTAAACCCTTAACCTGAAATTAGACGATAATTGACCAGCCTACCCTCAGATAATATACACAACTAAGTGAATTAATCATCCCCCTAATCTTTCCGTTTTAACTCTTTGCTTACAATTTTTTTATAAAAAATTATTAACATGTTTAACTAGACTTATGAGAAGAACAAGGATGTACACAAGAGGAACAGAAGATGAATGAAGTCCAATTGCAAATCTTACCTAACAAGTTCAATTCCCTAAAGGGTCAAGGCACCAACTTTTCCACCAATTTAATAGATGTTAAGATTCTTATATTTAAGCAAAGGGAAAGTAACAAGATGATAATTCTCTAATGATATTATAGATAGTTGTCAACTTAACAGCCCACTGAGACAGGCCAGCAGATTGAAGAAAAGAAAATTATAGACCTGCTTTCCATAGCAACAACCAATACAATAATAAAAGATGGCCAGATTGCACATTCTTTTGCAATCAAAAGGGCAAAAGCAATCCAGCTTACTCAAATGCTCCTCTGGAACAACATTATCTGAGGCACCTTCTAATTATAGAGAACGGAAGCGAGCATAATATTTCAAAAGCTTCTAAAAAATTCCCACCCGAACAAACCATGAGACCTAAAAGCAAATTCATCTAAAGCCTGGTAAAGTTCCAAATTCTCAATAGTTTAAATTCAATAAGCCACTACAGCAAATTCTTCGAATGGAAGATAATTCTCCCCAATTGGACAAGTAACAAGGAACCTCATTTCACATGCCACTCCAAATAAAATCTGATCATGGTTCTCTAGTCTCAAAAGGAACCAAAAAAAGGGGAAAAAAAAAAAAAGAGAGAGAGAGAGAAGATATTTATATACCACTCACATTATTGAAAAATTAATCTCTTTAAAATTGTTATTAGTTATTACCCCTTGGTTCATCTTATTAGAAGAAAGTAATTTTTAATCATTCCATGGTGTGCTTTTCTTACAATTTACATTATTTTTATAATTTGACCAAGGAATAGTCAATCCTCTAATCAAATGAGCCCAAAAAGATTGTTCAATATTTCAGCATTTGATTATAGGTAGTGAACTGCAGGAGATCTACAAATGAGAATTAGTAAGAAAAGGCACACACATCAATCAGTACACTACCATAATCATCCACTAAGGACAAGTGTAACACTAGAAACAGATCATTAAAGATAAACAAATCTTCATTATCACTTCATAAAAAGCAACTAACTGGCTTTTATTTAATGACCATGAACATCAAAATAATATATACCTCCTATAGAGACACTGACTGGATCATCTTGCCCACCACCAAATGCTTCTAAGGCATCTGCAAAGGTAGTGTCTCCATTATAAGCATCTCCAAGAGCTGCCCTGCAAAGGAAAGAACCAGAAAGGGAAATAAAAACCAAGAGAGGGAGAGAATGGGTATGATAAGTTCTACTTGGTTTTTAATCTAAGCCTAAATAGCTGCACTGTCTCATCTAACCACAGCTGAAATTTTTTGAAGAAATAATCATTGTAAGGTTGAGATAGGCACTACCGGGCAGAAGAAACAAGAAAAGGAGTACTTAAGCACAAAAGCAAAAAAAAAAAAAAAAGAAGAAGAAAGAAAGGGTAATGACATTAGTTTATAGCACAGAGTTCAGAGATAGATTAACAGAACCAAAATTTATCGTCTAATGAACATAGGAAAGACACGAAGTGGAGTTGAGAACGAAAAAAGATACTTACATAAACTTCCTGCATCCTTTGTATAGTCTTTGACAGCGATCTTTCAACTCATCAGCTGTATGTTCCAGAGAACATAACTGTTCAATGACAAAGAAAGTAAGGACACAATCTTTGAAATTCAATTCTATAAACAAGGCATCACCCAAGACAACTACATGAAACCTCGTCCCAGACTAACAACGAGATTCAATTCCAAACAGGTCGTCTTCAAAATATAAATTAACTGAGCTGATTTTCATTTAACAAAAACCAGTTTCTTCAACAAAACTGAAAGTTTGGAACGATTTCATATCCAAGAAATCAACGAGAAAATGACATATAGAACCGAAGATTATACGAGCCATGCTTCGCACAAAGATTTGGATGAAAAACTTCCGTAAATACGAGAGAGAAGCACAACCAGTTCCTTTTTCACAAAATCTAGAAAGGAGGAAGATAAAATACTTTACCTGCTTCTGAAACATTGGGGAATCCTCCAGCTTGATGAAGGCCGCCATCGACAATTATAAGATCGACAAATACGAGATTCGAGTAACGTCTCTTTCCGATCTGGAATCAAAATCAGTGGAAAAGCAATCCCTGTTATTGTTTTCTTAAGGCTGTGTTTGGCCCTAGGAACGGGATGGCTATACTCGCGGATAGGTTCGCATATTTGTGAGTGGGTAAGTAATGGG